GCCCGTCTCAGTCTCTGTCTCTGTCTCCTCCAGAGCCTGGATGTGGCCAACAACCGGCTGCAGGAGCTGCCCGCCGCGCTGGCCGACTGCCCCCGGCTGAAGGAGGCCAACTTCAGGGGCAACCAGCTGAAGGACAAGCGGCTGGAGAAGATGGTCAACGGTTGCCAGACGAAGGCCATCCTGGAGTACCTGCGGGCCGGGGGCCGCGGGAAGGGCAAGCCCGAGGGCACCCGAGAGGAGGCCAGGAAGAAGAAGAGGGAGAAGCAGCAGAAGAAGGATGGTGGGGACGGGGAGCAGAACGAGCTGGAGGAGGCGAGCAAACTGCTGGTGAAGGTCCTGCATGTCTCCGAAAATGCGGCGCCCTTGGTGGTTAAAGCAAGCCCAGGTGTCCAAGATGTTCGACCCTTCATTGTGTGCTGCGTGCTGAAGGGAGTGAACTTACAGCCAGGAAACGCTCTGAAGAGGTTCCTGTCCACACAGGTAACTGCCACGGCCTTGCATTACTCATTTGCAATGGGAACGTTGCTAGCAGTGTTGGGAACGGACCATTCCAGACTTCTTCCAGCAGAGAAATTTCTCAAACTCGGTGCGAACCCTTCAGCTAGCAGGTGGGGGCGTACGGCGGGACGGCGTGCTGCCTACTCAGTCCGCAGTGGGTAAAGCTGCTGTTCATGAAGAGCCTGAGAGGAGCTTAGATATTGCCATGGGAGGGTGATGAACGCACGCCCGTTTGCCTTGCCTCCGTAACAGGCTTGTTTGTGTTGAGAACTGGTACTGAACCCATGTTCGCATTAGAAGTACCTGGGTTTGGCTCCAAGTCCCCTAATCTCTGCTAAAACTCTTGCACGCCTAACCTTCCGACGGAGGTATCGTAAGCACAGGCTTTTGCTGGGCGTGCTGCTCGCCTGTCTGTCTAGATGGCAGGTGTTAGCTTCTTTCAGATTACCAGACTCACGTCTTGGTGATTGTGTTCTGAGTTAAAAGTGTTTACCTCCCGGTCGAGAAACATGTCACGTGCTGTGCTTCACTATCTTTACGTTCAGGTTCTCATTCAGATAACATTATTTTGCAGGTGAAGAGCTGAGTTCCATTTAATGCAAGAGGGTTAATGCCTCAAACATTCAATATAGAAGAATCTGAACCCTCAGAGGGATAAACCACTTTGATATTTTTGGTATATTTTGATGGCTTTCATTATGTTTTAGACTAAACTGCATGAGGACATCTGTGAAAAGCGGACAGCAGCCACAATTGCCACCCACGACTTGCAGTTGATCAAGGGTCCCCTGACGTACGACGTTCAGCCTCCTGACGAACTGAAGGTAGGGCCAGTGGCACGGTGCGCCTTTCCGCTTCTCCTGTGTTGTGGTGTTACCACCATAACGTTCCTGGAGGTCCGTGTACGTCAGGATGTGCCCGGAGCACCGCAGGCCAGAGCAGGTGCTCATTGCTATGAGAGCGCCGGGCTGGCAGCAGCCTTCAGGGTAACCTAACCAAAGTCGCTGCAGGGTCTGTGGGCTTCTGTGGCTGCTGTCAAAGAAGGGAAGGAAAATCAGAAGCTTGTAGTACATCTGTACAACGAGCGCTTAGGCTGTACTTCAATCCAGAATACAAAAATCTATTTCAGATTCAGCATCCGTACTTACGTAGGCCTGTTTCAATGTGCCTGTCGCTGTCCTGCCTCCAGGACCCATCACGCTGAAGGGCTGAACAGTTGGGACACTCTGACCCTTTGGGGCTGACCCAAAGTTTTTGTTGCGTTCTACTCTCCAGGTGCCTCATATCTGTGTTTGTTCTGTGCACATGGCCTGAGCCTCAGGAACGAATTCTTCGTTTTCCTGATGGCTCGCAGAGCCTTTCATACACGGCTTCTGTTACGAGACGGCAGGTTTCCCATTATGCAGCAGGCAATGACAGTGATGGACCTGGTCAGAGGACTGGATGGAGGGAAACTGTCCACGCCTGGTTTAGGACTAGCCAACAAGCCTGGCTTTCCAGTGGGCATTGTAGCTCATGCGAAGGTTTAAACTCGGTGTGATTATAGCACTCCATGTGAAATAGAAAGAGTATTTTCACAATGAAATAGGACTTGGGAAGGACGGCATGCACAAGTAGGGTTTTAATTACTGACTCACTTACAGGAGAGTTTTAATAATCCCAGTGTTTGAGGCACTCTTAAACTCAAATGTTTCTCTTCTGGTGTGGCATAGATAGTGCCCCTGGGTCGAAAGGAGATCAAGGCAAAGGATCTTCTCCGCCAGCTGCAATTGGAAGCCGAGGAGCAGAGGAAACAGAAGAAGCGTCAGAATGTTTCTGGATTGCACAAGTCAGTATACTGATCTCTTCTGGGTTTCTTTGTGCAAATTTTGGTAACTTCTTGTATAGAGAAACAGCGCTGAGGAAAATGTGCTCGATGGTGTTCTGAAGCATGTTCTGTAGTGGTGGCAGGGCTAACAAAGGCAGCGCGAGTGTTCAGGAGTCAAGATGAAAAATGCCAAGCTGAATTTATGCATAGAGAGTAACCTGGAGTGAAACAAGGATGATGAGTGCCTTCTGTTATTTCTAGCTGCGTCAAGAGTTGCTGAATTTTAGTGCTCCAACTCCAGTTTTTGTTCCATGGTAGATCAGGAATGTGCTAATTACCTTTTGTTGCTATTTTCTGCCATCGTGTGCAGCTGCCGTTTCAGTTACTTCTTGCTCCTTGTTTTTTCTTGGCAGGTATCTCCAGTTGCTGGATGGCAAAGATAACTACCCATGTCTTGTGGATGCCGAAGGCATCGTGATTTCTTTCCCGCCAATAACCAACAGTGAGAAAACAAAGGTACTCTCTGTTAGTGGAAATACATTAATCAGAATTCAACAGTGTTTCTTTCTGCTGAGAGGTATTTAACTCCCAACTCAAAGATAAGCGCAGTTCTGTGAAACTTGTCATTGCGTTCCAAATTAAATCTTCAAAGCCTGACTCTTCTCTGCCAGACTGTCAGATTGAGGAGTTCGGTTTTTACCCGTGTAAATCTGGCAAGCTGTTTCAGAGGCACCGGTCTGCCTTCGCAGAGGTGGCTTTGTTGGAGGGCGAGAATAGAGGGGTCTGACCCATGAAGAAAGGCAGTGCTTTGCCTCTGGCTGAATTGAGCGCGAGTCTTGCGGTCAGTTTGTGTATTGAAATGTCACCAGGTGCCTGTGGGTGCTCCGATTCCTTACTTGCCTTACCTGTACTATTCTGACAGATTAGAAAAGACACCCGTGACCTGTTTCTGGAAGTGACAAGCGATACCAGTTTACAGATCTGCAAAGATGTCATGGACACACTAATTCTGGTAAGAAGTTCAGTAGAATATCCTATCTGTTTTCGGTGTGCTTCTCGGTCAAATGTGTAATTGCTCCCATGTATTGAGAAGAATACAGAAGCTGATTGTTATTTTAGTAGTAGTAGTATTCTCTCTCCTTCACTTACTCTTCCGTTCTTGCTGTATCGCAAGAGGTTGTTACCTTTTTGTATCCTGACTAACTGGCCAACCTCAAAGCTCAGCAGGGTAACTAATGTTGTGTTACCACAATTGGAAATTTATGGTTTGACTTTCAACAGAATACATCTTGTTTTCTCTGTTTTGCTTGTAACAGAAAATTGCAGAACTGAACAGATTTACCATGGAAAATAAGGAAGACTTGGGCTCAGATAACGAATCTGATGCTCTTTGTGGGCCAGTGAATTTGAACCCCGGCCAAAGCATACAGCCGACGAATTTTCCGTTGGTAGTGGAGCAGGTTCGAGTGGTGGACACAGACGGAAACTTGAAAGTACTTTATCCCTCAAAAACCGACCTAACCACAGTTTCCTCTCTTCTGACCGTAATACGTTAGCAGCTATCGAAGCTAAGAAAATTACTCTGTTTTCTTACCCCCCCCCGCTTTTGTCTCCCCCCCCCCCCCATTTTCAACCATGCAGCTTGTACCCAGGAAGGTGGTTTGGCTTTTTTGAAAGAACAGAAGCAGAGCATCCTGCCTGGGTATGTGAAAACTAGAAAGTGTGATCAGGCTGTGGCAGGGAGTGTTGCATTCTTTCAGCCTTATAGAAAGCCATTTTCGGTAGATAAATGCAAACTTAAGGGCAGAGCAGGTATTGGAAGTCAGGATGCGTTACCTTGTAGAGAAAAGCACTGCGACACCTTGGCATTTACAAAATGAGTGCAGTCATGTGTTTCTGCAGGATCACTGCTTCTTCCTGGTGTGTTTCAGCTGGATTATTACATTGGCAGCTCAACTGAGAAATGCAGTAGGTGACAGCAGTGGAACCCAGTCATGTGCGACAGCCCGGTACTGAGGGCAGACGGCAAAGTCGCCTCGCTGGCATCTCATTCTGCATGGTTTTATTTGTATGTCTGGAGCCATTGTGAAAATGTAATTGCTGTCAGAACTCCAGAGTGAGTTTTAAAGTGACAGTTGCTGTGTTCTGACGTTAACACAGCTTCCATTTTTAAGTGACGTTAGTTGAACTGACTGCAGGGCTTTGCCTGTCCCAGTACATTTTAGAGCCCTCACCCACCCTTGCGGAAACAGCAGTTGTGACCTCGTGCACCCGTTGAGTTACTGGTGCTCGAGCACTGAATCTGTTCTGGCTCAGGAGGGTAATGCTGCCTTACGTCGACACTCCTAAAGCTCCCCTCTCCCCAGAACAGAAGCGCTGTTGCCCAGCGTGACCCCCCCGAAATACACCTTCCAAAATACAGGTAGTTTGAGCGATTCTAATTCTTGCAGTCTGTGGGTGACTTTTACACGCGGGCTGCTACCTTTATGAATGCAAACCTCTCCATGGGCTAGGGTGACCCACAGCTTGCCTTTTTTCGGTTAAAAATGATAGCTCTACCTGAACTTCCAGATACCGTGTCAAATACGTTCACATGTTGGGACTTGCGTATTGAATGGAAAAATAATAAACCAGTTCTTGCAGTCATGTGTCCCTGTGACTTGTTTTGGCGTTGGTGAATTCTCCAATCACGTAACTATACAAACTCGCCAAAGCAGCTATTGTGTACTGCAAAAATGGTGACATAATCCTTCCTAGCTACTTGTAGTGCCTCAAGCTGCCCTGCAAAGTCAAAGGTTTCTACTGACCAGAGATTTACAGTGAATTGTGCTCCGAGTCAGTTGAAACAACTGAATTAGATATTCCCGCAGAACTGGATTTTAGTAACAAGGAATTTAATTTGTTAGTAAGTCACCGTCTGAAAACCAAGGAAGAGGAGCCTGAAGGGGGGGGCCACGTTCTGGTGCAGCCGTTCGGGCTGCTTTTCACATGCTGAAAGATGCTACCTTGCGGGACTCTTCCTCCTTCCCTTAGCACTGGTGGGTGACAAAGTTGCTGTGTCGATGCTGTGGAGCAATGGGACCTTGATGCCTTTCTGTTTCAGCATCTGATGGAACTCCGTCCGTTCGTTAATTATTTTCTGGAAGTTAGGGATGTGTAAAAGGGGTGGGAAAGCATTAGGCGGAGAGCGGTACTTCACAGTGCTCCCTTATCTCCATGGTTCTTTGCCCGCTGCTGGAAGCAGAGCTCAAAAGAGCCACGTACCTGCATTGCCTCCAGCAGCTCCTCATCGGTGACCTCTGCCTGGGGAGGCTTGCTGCCTGCTGTACTGAACGTTGCCTGAATTATTTTGCTTCGATATCTTTCAAACTGGTGATAAAAGAGGACAGAAGTATGGGTGTTTAGTCTGTATACAATTCTTTGGCGTTTGCCTGGATTTACAGAGGCTATGCGGTCAGGCTTGGGCAAAGTACCAGTGAGGGATGAAGTGGCAAGTCTGCGTATGTGAGATTACAGGCAGTTTGACCAGGCTTCACTGCAAGCAGCATGATAAAGACGCGTTTCTGGGTGGACCAAGCCCCTTACCCAGGTGTTGGACTCTGTGCTCACTATGGCAGCCTTCAGCCAGGGCCCAGCTGTGCAAACATGCTTTAAGGTGATACCTGGTACTTTGGTCAGGAAGGATATTAGAGACCCAGTGATCTATCTGTTCTGAACTCCCATTTCTCAAGGGCTTCTGCTATTTGAGGTCTGTTTGCTTTGTAAGCGATGTAACAGCCACATGCTAACAAGCTGGGAAGCAAAAGGACCAAGCTTCCTGCTGCTCTGGCCCCGTGCCTGCAAAGGGAAGCCAGGCTCTGAGAGCCGAGGACTGCGAAGCCCTTGGTGCATCTCCCGCTGTGCTTCTGCCCAAGAATGTCTCTCAGCTTTTACACTCTGGTTGAGGCACCTCCCGAGAGGGGGGCAGGAGTCTGAGGCGATGGCAGCTACGCTTACCCTGCTGGTGATGCACTCCAGGGCCACTCTAGTCCGCAGCTCCCTGTGCTCCAGTGTCTCGGCTTGGCTCTGGATCGCCGCTTGCACCCGCTGCTGCTTACGGATGTGGTGTTGGCCGCTCAGGACCTCTGCCTGTAGCTTGCTGACCGTCCCCTGTAACTCACTGATCAGCTTGTTCTGCTCAGCCAGTCTGCATTCCTGTTCTGTAACAACCTGAGGACATCAATAAATCCAGACGTTATTGTGAGGAAGAAAGCGAGCAGGCAAACTCCCCCAAGACTAAACCAAGCACAACTAAGCAGCTAGTACAAGAATTTTCTATAGCAGCTTTGCACTGAATTTACCTGTCGAAGGCTGCAGTTCTCCTTCTCTATTGTCACCATCATTTCTTCATGTTTCCGTTCTTCTCTCAGACTGCAAAACTTAAGAAAAAATATTTTATGCCTCAGTTTTGCGGTTCAGAGGGGCACCTCCTGTCTCTGAGAAAGGGAGGTGTTGCGGAAAGCCCGGATTCCCCGCTGCAGGCTCTCCTAACGACGGCCACTGCGCTCTCGGGGCGGTACCTTGGTAGACATGGCTTGTAGCTGATTTTCTCGCTCTCTCAGCTTCTTTTGGAGCATTTCCTTTTCAGATTTGATTCTCCGGAGCTGGGATTCTTGGATCTCCAGTTGTCTTTGCAAGGAAGAGATGGCACCTGTAAAATCAGAGTGCTGCTGTTAAGCAAAGCGAATCCCTGCCAAAAGCTTCGCAGCCCCTTTTTTTTCAGGTAAGCACGGGCAGAGCTGCTGCTATGACGGGGGGTGAAGTTAATGCCGCAGTGACAGCGGTGGGTAAGGCGTTCCGTTGTACGCTGCTGTGATACACCTTGGAACCGCCTGCACCGGCGAGGCAGGAGCTGCTCAGAGCCCCGGCAGGGTGGGTCACACCAGCGCAGGTTGCCGGAGCGCCGAAACGTTGGCGGCTGCCCCGGGATGCTGCTGGGGCTCCAGTCTAAGGGGGCAGAGAAAGCGGTTTGAAGAGAAGCGGCGGTTCGGCTCGCTGTAGGCGACAGCGGAAAGCGGGGGTTGCGCTCCCGACACCCTGCCCTCCGGTTTGTTCTGGGCACGAGCGGCGGGACGGGCAGCAGATGAACCTGGCTGCTGGGATAGCGGCGTGTTTGCTGGGGCCCTCCCAGGTACCCGTGGCCATGCTGTAGTCATCCTTTGCCTTCTGCAGCTGCTCCCGGAGCTCTCGGTCGCCTGTCTGG